AATATTGTTTTAATTTAGATCTTTGTGTGCATAAAAACAGAGTAGTTATAGTAATTATGTTTTTTGTTAAAATAAATAAAAAAACTTACCATATCTGAATGAAAATCGGATTATTATAATAATTAATTATAATCTTAATTATAATGATGCGTTCAGGAACTATTACACTTTTAAAACCATCTTGTTTTCAAAGCAATTAAACTGCACTTTCAATTCTGATATAATAATTAAACAAATTCGTATTAATTAAAAAAAAAACTTAATAATTTGTAATTAAGCTTAAAAAAAAATGATCGTAATACAATACTCTACGATATAAATTTTACATAATTATGTACGGTGAAATGCGACCTGTCATCACGATTTTCAACTGTAAATCGACGCTATGCGCATTATGATGCGCATTGATTCGTATCGTTAGCAGCTTTTTGATTGGCTGGAACGGCACCATACGTTATTCACTTCAATTAGTAAAAAATAAATATATTATAATTTTATTTTACATTATTTATTTTATTATTTTATAAGTATAATTTATTTATAATTATTTTAATTGCAGATTGTTATAATTGCAGATCGAAATCTTATAAATAATAAATAAATAAATCTTATATCTATAAATATATAAATCTTATATCTATATAAAAACAGTTAAAGGTTGATGAAAAAAATAATAATAATTATAGATTATTATAATTTTATTATAATATTCTAAAATAATATATAGAATATTAATAAAAATTTAATAGATTATGTTAAGATTAAGATATTATCAATAAATATTATAGATAATAAATATATTTAACAATCAACTGTTTGTTGTAATCATCTAAAGTACATGATGAATGATCAAAACAAATATGGATTTTTGTACTTTGTTTATCTTAAATGTTTTGATTTATAGTAAAATCAGATTTTAATCATTATTGATCGGATCGATACCAATACTATTGATGAAAAAACAAACAATTCGATATCAAAATACAAAATATAATATCGATACTCAATAAAAGATATCAATAATATCAAAATTTTAAATACTTAATATTATTTTTCGATACCAATATTTCTTAAAATAATCAATATCAAGTCAATATTAGTGTCTAATTAAAAATATGTGAAAATCTCACGGAAATATCTATATTCATTTGATATTTTTTTTACGAAAGTATCGATATCTGTTTTATTCTTTATGAAGATTTCGATATCTTAGCTTTTATTCTAAATATCATAATCAAAACTAGATATTGATTCTCGTATTCGATAAAATGAAATAGAATACAATAGAATAGATACAATTAGAAAAAGCTAAATAGATAAAATGTATCAATTAGCAATGTTAATTACTTGATTATAATATTTAAAAAAGAAAACTATTGAATAGCTATTGAAATCTTTGTAAAATATTAAAAAGATATGAATATTTGCGTGAGGTATCGGATAAATTTTGATTGAATTCAATATTGTTTGATATTTGATGCATTTTAAAAGATATTGATATCGAAAAATGATATTAAATATTTAAAATTTTATGTTTCAATATTGGATCGATAGATTTGATATCGATATCGGTTTTAATCTACTATCATTAATCATTTTCTATCGATATAATATAACATGTAACAAGAAAATAATAAGGAAAGTAAACGATTCTTGAATTCCTATAGAAAATGATACAAAAAAAAAAAAAAACAACTGTCACTTTTATCTTATATCTCGTTTATATATATTATAATATACACTATATATATATATATTACAAATCTGTTCTTAGCAAATTTTTTTTAAAGATCCTAAAGCTAAGATTTATTGTCAGGAAAACAGCAAATTCGACATAGGATTTGTTATAAAACTGGATTTATTAGAAAACTGATTTCAGAAACATAACATTGATTTTGCTAAAAGTTAATTCATATCAAAAATGTTCAAGTTTTGTTTGAATAAATAATTGTAGATTGATGGTAGAAACATAATAAGATTTGCACTATATAATTTGATAGAAATGCAGCATTTCTGGGATATTATATTTTTTAATCCTATCAGAAAAGTTTCATAAATTAATACTTAAAATTTAATACTTAAAAGAGAAATTGCATTATTATTATTTCACTTAATATAAAATTTAATATAAGTATATAAAATATATAACAAATAGAAAATGTAACGAATTATTCTTTTTTTTGATCTTTTGGAAAATTTTATATTTATATATTGCGATATTTTTCTTGAAAGAAAAGAAAAGCAGAGGAGAGGAAGAGAAAAAAAGAAAGAAAAATTAAAGAAATACATACATGTACGATTAGACAAATATTCTACATTTGATATAACATACATATATATATTATTACATACATACTATATCTTATTATATTTATAATTAATTATTTATTAGTTCAAAAGTATAATGCACTCCTTTCCCTGGATATTGTTTTTCCATCTAAAACAATATATTCATATATA